TATTTCTTTTGAATTTTGAATAATTCTATTATTGCGTAAATAATAAAGCTGCATCTACGTTTATTTAATGGAAAATAAAAAAATCTTTTAAAGGTTTGCATAATAATTTAGAAATTTAATATTCTTTTCAATGATTTGAAAGCATAATAAAAATATTAATGTAGTTTTTGAAAGAAGAGGGTCGTTCACAAATTAAAAATTTTTGTTTTATTTCTTACTCATAGATTTTACTTATTGCACTTTTATTAAAATTGCAATTTGTCAGCTACCCAAGTATCTTGTAAGCCTAATATCGTTTAATAAAGTCAAATATGACTTTCCATTGTTATAAATCAGAAGCTGGTTTTTCTTGTTAATTTTTTCTCCAGTGTACCAAAATGGCCTCATAAATTTTAATATTGAATTGAACAAAATTGCTTTTCAGGTTTATTCAAAATAAAAAACAACTTTTCTATACCACTTACGAGTTCTTCTTCACCATTAATAAGAAAGAGTCACGGTTAATTGTGATTTAATTGAAATTGCAATAGAATGGAGAGCCCTAAACAAGGTAATATTAAAAACCTGATTTCTTTTTGCAACTGCCTTCAATTCTATGTGTATATTGCATTCGTTTATAGTTTTTTTTTTCTGAGTCATCCTGTATGAATAAAATAGTTTATATCGTATATAGTTAATAATTTTTACTTTTCATCAACTTTCATAATTTAATTTTTAAAATTTCAAGAACCAGATGTAAAATATTTAGGTACTTACTCTACTATAGACTCTTTATATAAAAAACACATTATAAATATTTTATTTTCACTCTCTAATCCTGAAATATAATTTTGTTTTAAGTTTTAAGAATATCAACTAAAATAAAATTTATTATAAAAATAATTTATATACGCATAAACTTTTGATAATATTCCGCTAAATTTAAAGAATTTTCATCAAAAATTGAATGATGAAAAATTCTAAAATTGGAAAATAAATTTTTGTTTCGCTTTTTGTCTTCTTAATTTTTGTTTTTCATTTCTCAAATGTTTTCAACGCTTTAATTGCCTTTAATTATAAAATTGTGCATAGTTTTTGTTTTATACGGAAATATTCTAACTAAGTAAAGAGCAAATCAACGGCAGCACAACAAAAGAAAGCGACACAGTCAAAATGATTTTCTTTTTTGATGAATTTAGATTTTGTTACAATATATGAGGTGTCCGTACAAAAACAACAAGGAGATAAAATAAAAACCAAAAAAAAAAATAAGTAAAAATGACTAGACAAGTGGTCTAATGACCTAATAAAAAATGTTTCTGTTGACAAAAAGCCCAAAAAAAAAAACTTACAAGATTATTTTGAAATATACACTATGTAGGTATATAGAATTTTTATTTTCGTGTTCTTATATTATTAGTATTGTCATAAAAATGAACATTTCTTGTAAGAAAATCAAAAATTATAAAACAGTAGAATAAATTTATGTTCAAAAATTTGTTGAACTAAGGAAATCATTATATGCATCAAACCATTAATTCTTAAGATTTATTTGAAGAGCAAAACAATACGAAATAATTTAAAGTAGTTTGTATCATTTGAAACGATGTGTCATGGAATAAATGTAACACTATTTTGCATAGAAATTCTGTTATACGAGAATATAAACTGTTCTATAAATTTTAAAATTTTCGATATAAAAGTGTTGAGCCGTCTATAAAGGAGTAAAAGAGCTTAACTATGCCACTATGTATACAACTATACACGAATTGGAAGTTCTTATACATCTGTAAAGTGTTATACGTTTAAATTGTTATAATATATTCTTAAATGGTATTCTACTTAATATTTCCCTCCAGCTATATAACAGCCTAACCAAGCTATTCTCAACAATGCTACTATATATACGATTTACTATGCGGGGATTTATTTCAGATTATTATACACTTATAAAGTGTTATACGTTTAAATTGTTATAATATGCCTTAAAATTGTATTCTATATTTAATATTTTTCTTCAATTATCAACTTTCTTTTACGTTTTGTTCCTTTCAATCTTAATTTGTTAAGAAAAATCTTCAAAAAGATCATTAATTTAAAAATTACAGAATTGCTTGTATAACTCTTATTTTTCTTATTCACTTTTTAGCAATAAATTTGTGATATAAAAAATTTATATTTATATTTTTATTATTTAAAATGTCTTGTATCATTGAATTTTCCAATTAAATTAAAAAAAATTATTTTATACAATTCAAAAAATCGATTAGCAGATAAAGAAAGCTAATTATTCGATCCAAAAATAAATCAGAGAATTAAATATAAAAGAGCTTTTCAAAAACATAAAAAGAAAAAGAAATGTCAGTATGACGTACGTACGTACAATGTTCATGTAACGTAAATTTATTAATTTTTCTTTTATTTAGCAATTTACAAAATAAGGATATTAACCTTATTATTATTTTGTGCTTTTGTTTTTGTCCTGTCTGAAATTATGAATTATTTTTTGATAAATTTTTTTATATTTTTTTTGCAAGTATGTGTGTGTATATATTGCTACAAATATACGTAATTATAAAACAAAAGGTGTATGTGCATCGACCAGCTACCGCATAAATATTTTAAGTGATTCTAAATTTAAAATTTGATTTGTATCAGAAAATTATGACATATTTATGTATGTCATAATTTTAATCTACTATATATACTGTATAACGAATACAGGGTGTTTGATTTTCAATGGTATTTTTGAAGCATCAGGGTTATAATCCTAATAAGACGAAAATTTCAGTTTTTCGGCCTCCGCGGCTGATTAGCCGAAAAACTAAGTTTTATAAGTCCGAAAAAAGGAATATTGGCAAAAAAAAACCTCTATGGATGAAATATGAAATAAATTTTCTGTTATATTTTCATGTGTCTGGATTTATAGTCTGCTATAGAAATACTATTGATACTTCTTGTCAAACTTCGTAAGCTTATATGAAAAGATTTTAATTTGCATTTCGCTCAATGATACAGGTATACTTATGATTAAAAAAACAAGAATATACTTATATACATAGATCTATATCTGTTGGTATTGATATATGTACATACATATCTATAATATTGACTTAGCATGCCTTTTTGGGCATTGGTTTGAACAAGAACAAAGGTAGCTTTTTAATACTGTTTGTGTTATTTTTATTGCGAGAAAGAACGCAATTTACGATTCATAATTTTTTTAAAATTTCCAGCATTTTAGTATATAAGTATGTAAGCTACACATATTTACCCTCATATAAGAATATATATAATTCCAAATATCGATGGAATACACATTACAAATCAAATTATGACACGGTCGCATGGGCGCAAATTTACTTGAAAAGTACAGAAGAACACTTAATAAAGACCACATCTGGTCTTATTTTGTTTTTGGTTTTTTTTTTTTTTTAACTAAAAGAACGTTCAAAGAGGGCAAATTCTTTCCACAAAAGAAAATTTTACATTATACGATAATTTGTATACCTTTGTGTATATGTAGGTATGCAAGAATCTTATTTTAACTTATTAATTGTCATGTTAATTAGAATGATTTTGAAAGCAAAAGTTTTTTTTTTTTTTTGGATATGAAAGAATTTTAATTTTTCTTTTTAAGATCGTGTCGCCACATAATTAGTATAGATTGACATTTTATGAACTTAAGAAATTTCACACAAATGTAAATATGTTTATGAGTACTTACAGTAAAATTATGAAAAACAAAAAAGAAAATATTAAATGGATTTAAAATATTAAAATTTTTAAATTTTGGAAAATATTCAAATACAAATTATGCGCTAAGGGTTATTTATTTTGAATATTATTAAAACGTACTGATTATATCAAAATAATTACATATGGTAATTATATTCCATTAAAAATTTCGAATTTTGTTTATTTGTACGATTTTCAATATGGGCTAGGTTTAGAGAAAGTTAAGGCAGCTCAAATTTATATAATAATGCAAAAATGAATATACGTGTATTTATAGCCATTGTCTATTACTATATATTTCATTCGATTTCGATCAAACTATGGGAATTTGACCAATTTTGTTAATGAAATGATTTGCAAAAATAAAAGAAATCGAAAAATATTTTAATTCAATATTAGACCGAAACAGCCCGAAATAGCCCGAAATAGCCCGAAAAAGCCCGAAATAGTCCGAAATATCAGAATTATTCTGAAAGCACCTGTTTTCTGTTCAAAACCTAAAGAATATATTATTTTGTGTAATTGAAAAGCATTTTTCAAATTCTATATGTACGGGTACACATTTTATATTCAAACACTTTTTCGGAGAGCTATATACTTTTGAAATTCTCAAATATTAAAATTATATTTTTTTTAAAAAAGCTATTATTTATATTATACAAGGAAGTCTTAAAAATTATGTTAGAAATTTATTTACAATACAAAATATAATTACATATATAATTTCGACCGAATTTAATCTCAATTTGCATACCATACAAATTCACTCAAAAATACATACTTGTAATACTTCTAAATATTTTACTCAAATCTAATTGTATGACTAATATAGTTTAAAATTTTTTAATAAAAAAATAATGTTAATTAATTTTAAACAAAAAAATTATTATAATACTCGTTCATAATCACTAACTATTGTGCTCCAGAATCTACATTGTAAACTGTTATAAGAATAGGAGAATAAACAAAAACAAACTGTTTTTTTGGATTAAAATTAACAAATTTTTAAAATTATGTTAAAATTTTTAGTACCTACACAAAAAATTTTTTTCTAATATTCGAACTTTTATTGCAACATTTCTGTTTTTATAATTTTACATTTTAAGTATAACAAAAAACGCTTTAAACTACAAGTACGACTTTTAATACGGTTAACAGTTTACTTTTTAACAATTATAATGCAATCGTTAATTAAAAAAACCAATACAAGTTAAAATGAAAATAAACATTAAGCATAAATTTAAAAATTTTTAAATAAAAAAAAAAAAATTAACACTTTTCAGGTGATTTAATTTATTTTTTTTTTGTACATAAAAAGCATTAAAGAACAAAAAATATTAAAAAAAAAAAAGCAATGCCTAAATTGCTTTTCAAGGTTATTAGAAAACATTTTTTAATATTAAATTCAGTGAATTTATTTTTTAAAAATAAAATTAAATATATTGGAAATATAAAAAAGAAAAGAAGAGATTTAAAAATTTCATGTCCAACATTATTTTACAACAATAATAGAATTAATGTAATTTTATTAGTAAATTGGTTTTTATTTATATTTTTATTATGTGATCATTTTAAATTAGCTCAAAGTCGAAAATTATTATGTACACCATGTGAAATAAAATCAGAAATAGGTAAAAAAAATTCAAATATTAATAATGATGGTTTACCAGCTAAAGCATCATATGAAGAATATGTTTTTGAACATCAAGTAACAAGACAACAAGCAATTGCTGCATTACGTATGCTAAATGATAGCTTTTTTAATGGTAAGTTTAAATATTGTAATAACATAACATTTAACATTACATTTACATTATAATAATAATATTATTTAAGGTATAATCGATTATGTAGAGTACGTGTTGAATTTTTTTTGCATCTTAATCGATATTGCAGTTAACAAAAGCATTGTAACTGTTAATATTGTCAACAGTGATGTCTATACATTTTGTAATATGTAGCAGATAATGCAAAAAACAATAATGTCAATATTGCCAGTCATGTTGCTAAAATTTTTTGGTATATTTTTATAACAAGAAAATTTCAACTACCGATTTTGCTTTTCGTCCAAATTTGAAAACTTTTTAAGAGGATAAATAATTTTATTTAGTGAAATTTAGTTCTTGAAAAACATTCAGCCGGTTGTATACAAAAGTGTTTTTTTTTTAGCATAAATTACTATTCACCGGCTTGATATTATCGATCACACCTTTAAATTATAATTAATAATAATAATGATAATAAAATTATTAAAATTAAATTATAATTAAAAACACAATTTGCAATATTAATTTTGTCTTCAATCCATTTATGGAAGTATGCAACATCTGTATAAATACTTGGTTTACCTTCAGTACAATTAAAACCAGCTGCTGCAATACCAATTATTATATCATTGATAATTAAACCAGAACCAGATTCACCATGACAAATATCAGTTTTATTATTTAAATTCATTGGTCCAACACATAATCTTCCTGCAGTTGAATCATCTTGAAATTTCATTGTTTTTGTTAAATTATATAAATTTGAACAAAATTTCCATGAATAAATTTTTAAATATGCTTTAACTGGCCGATAATTATTATTAAATCCAATAACATTACATAATGTATTTATTAATGGTGTTGAATTTGATAATTTCTTTATTATATTATTATTTTTTATTATTTTAAAATTTTGATTAATTTTTGGTTGAAATTTAACAATTGCCAAATCATTAATTAATTGATTAACTATAAAATTACGATTTGAATGAATTTGAATATTTACAATTTTACGATATATATTAATTTCATTGGTATCGTAAAAAAATTTAATTTTAAATTTATTTGAATAATATGAATTTGAATTTTTTATAAAATTCATAAAACAATGTCCAGCTGTTAAAATATGATTTGATGAGATTAATGTCCCGGCACAATATTGATAATATAAAGGTTTTCTATAAAATATTACAATATGTTGAATTTCATTTTCAGTCACTGGTAAACCACCATATAATTTTAAGATTTTTATTTCTTTAAATGTTGTAGCATTAAAGAAATATTCATTGTTTTTTATTAAAGGAATCGAACAAAATATTATGAAAAATATTAAAAAAATTTTAATTTCCCAGATTTTAAATTTCATTTTCCATTTTTTGTATTGATCCTGCCAGGGTTTTTTTTACAAAATTTTTGACTGAAAGTACGAATTTTGACGATTTCTCTTCGTAATGATTCTATTTAGTTTTGATTACATTGCACGCTTAACGTTTCGAATGAGTTTGCCTTTAATGTTTACTTTTATTTTAAATTATTTTAAAATGCTTCTGAAAAAATTTTTGTGTCAAATTTTTTGTCATCAAAATGACAACATTTTCTAAGCCTATAAAAATTAGTTTTTTAAATTAATTATTAATTTTTCTTATTTACAAGTTTTATTAATAAATTTTTTTTTGTAGGTCCAACAGATCCAGGATGTAAGGCATTTGATTGTGAAAAACATATGAAATATTGTTTAGGAACATATTTTTTAAATGATCATTGTTTTTGCGAGCAAAGTCATACAAATGGTAAGTAAGAACATTCTTAATAGTATTTACATTAATAGTTTAATTAAAATCACAAATTAAGGTTCTTAACCTGTAAAATTAAAATTCTGTAGAAATTGCGCTTGTTTGGAAAATTTAAGATGTTATTTATGAGGGTCAACAATTAATATTTCTTAATTTATTAGCAAATTTTCTGTACTATTTCACATTCTTTCTTGCAATACAAGAAACAAATTCACCATCATAATCAAATCAATTGCAACAGCTGATTTTAATGGTTTTAATCCAAAAAATCCTATAATATTATTCTTAAAGGAACATTTTACTTTCATTCACATCTCAATTTAGTACGAATCGCTCCAGGAACAAAATGTTCTTCTGTTTTGCCAATCTGTTAATTTTTTATGCTTGCGTTTGTAAATTCAACGGGATCTTCTGTATTATTCTATAATCTGTACAAATATAATTTATTATGCAAAAAATATACAGTACCACACGTCGTTTGTCAATATAGGAACAAAAAAACAAAACAATTGTATGTTCATTATTAAAATAATTTCACCTTTATTAAAGGTAAACATTTAAAATTTCCTTGAATTTAAATTTTTTAAATAATTTTCAAAGTCATATTATGTTTTTATTGCTTAATATCAGTATACGTACATATTATATGTTCGAGTATAACGTTTATATGTGCGTAAAATGATCTATGTAATAACTCTTAGTCCAACTGTATACACATACCGTGCGTGTTTATGTCGTGTGTGTTCTCTATTAAATAATATTATCTAAAAAATTATGCAAATTAAGTAAATTAATCTGAAGTTTTTCAATTTATTTTTAATTTTTGTTTTATTTATTTTTGTATTTTCTTTATATTTCATTTTTATAATTTTATTATTCATGGCTTTAAGTCCACTATATAGGCATATAATTCAGTTCTAAACGATTCAATATTATTTTTATTTTCCGGTAGAATGAGAATATCCAAATTCCGGTATTTGGGAGCGTTTTAAAAAGAAAATTATAATATTAAAAAGAAAGAGAAAACAATTACCGTTACATTGTCAAATATTGGGGTATATGTAAAAATTCCATAACTTTTTTTTATAGTAAAATGCTCGTAGGCAATTCTGCCTGAGTAAATCAGTAAGACAGTTTATAAATTTTATAATGCATAACATTTTTAGGCTGGAAATATGAAGACCAATGTATTTTGCAAAGTTGGAACTTATTTTGCAATTGAAAAATTTTATTCTTTGAATACTGAATATAAGACGAAGATTTCCGAATTAACACGAGGTAGTATATGAAAACAGCAGTTTATGCAGTGTTCCCACTCAATAAAAAGAAAATGTATCCAATTTCGAGAAAAAAATGTATCCAAAATGTATTCAGCCTCCTAAAGTAGAATTATTATACTAAATCGCCTTACTTTATACCAATAAACTCATAAATAATATTAATTTGCTTTATTCAACAATGTGAGTTTCGTTATTTATAGTAAATTCTTTTAGAAATCACACGCAATTTCTATTATATTTTAAAATTTAAGGTCAGAAAATATATGTTCTGTAGCTGTTGAACTATGCGGTAAAAACGATTCAGCACGAAAACGGGCAAATTTTATTTAGTCAGCAAATAACATTTTTTGGAAGATAATGTACTTAAAAGTTACAGCAATTTAAAAGTTTTCTATAATTTATTTAGTGTTCGAGAAAGAAATGTATCCATATTTCAGCAAAATTTTAAAATGTAGCCAATTTCGACATTTTAGCAGATTTGAGTATCTTTGTATCCAAGCTAAATTTTAAAGCAAAAATGTATCCAAATGGATACAATTGTATCCAAGTGGGAACGCTGAGTTTATGCCGTTTTTAAGTTCTCTCGAGCGGGCAGTTATATTTTATATTTAGGAGAAAGAGCCATGATGCGTCAATCAAACAAAATATTGTGCTCTCTTGTTTTAGGTATGTTTAGCGTAAAAACATACATTATGTATTAGAGTAATTATTGGCTATTACAAATAGAAACAAAAATTCTGCATGTCATATACAAAGTTATATCGTGTACTATGCGTAAAGTAAAAATAGAATGAAAAATCGTAAATTATAGGCGTCTTGTATTCATTAATACCGTAATTATGTATGTGTAATAATTTACTCCAGAATGAAAATAATATTCATGCTTATTTTAAAATTTAAGCACTCAAAAATAAAGCAAAAAAAAAAATTGAAAACAGAAGTCTTATATGGCTACTTGAAATTCTACAATATTTTTAAATTCCGAATGAAACAATAAATTTTAAGGTGAACGTTTTAAGTTGAGTGGACTTGTACACTATACTTACATATTTGAATGTACAAAGTTAAATTTTCAAAAAAAAAAAAAAAAAATTTTATATTTTTACTTATAGGAGTTTTTTATTTCAGTATTTGTATAGATTTGATTCTGAAGCAAAATAATATACACAAGACTATTACAAGATTTCTCGTCAATGATCTGGAAAATTTGCTTTTTTTTTTTTGAAATTTAATGAATGGTTGAATATCAGAAATTTCTGCAAAATTTTGTAGAGCATTAACACAAATTTGTATATACATATACATAATATAATTTACATTGTGCCGAAAATACAACAAGTATATTGAATTATTCAAGCATATTAAGTGCAACAAAAAATTATGAAATCATGAACTTGAAAAATATTTAAGATAAGGATTTGAATTAAGATATTTTTGTATAATAAATTTTTCAAATAGTTTTTTTTTTTGTATAGTTATACTAAATATATTCCAGATTGCTAAGAGATGATGTCAGAATTCGAAATATTGAACTCGTAGTGCATTTTTTTCTTATGCGCTGTCAAAGTATTGCATTATAATCTCTTAATTTTAAAATTCAATAAACATCAAATGATATTTTACATTTTCGCCAGGTTAACATGGATGAATTTGTTAAAGCACAATATAAAACAGTTAACGTGCCTCATATAGCCTCCTTAAGGCTAATTTTTTTTCTCTTTTGCAAATGAAACAGTAAGAGTCTAACATTATGCAGAATATAATTCGTATTGTACAACAAAGGCGGACTAAAGTCCTCGTTTGAAATACTCACACAAACATTAATAAATTTTCAATTATTTTGTGGTAACACCATTTTTTTAATAATTTTAATTACTTTAATTTTTAATTTTATAAACCACAACAATGATTAAAATGCAAATTAATTGATTTCTGTATAAATACCTTGGTTTGGTTTACTTTTAAAAGCCGATATAAGAAAGTTAAATTGGAATTTGTAATTCGTGATTTGCACAAAAATTGCGTGCAAAACCAAATTATCAAATTTAAAATTTTAATAAAATTAAAAAAATATAAGGTAAAATACGTGTGCAGGAGCATTTTTTTTATAATTACAAGGATTTGTGTGGCATGTTTTCTTAAATTATTTATTTTTCATACATAAAAATATGTAAAAGTTGGTGTATATCAAAATAGCTGCAGTGGCCACCGCATCTAAAATTTATAATTCATGTTGAAATATTAACTTAATTATGCACTGCGATTTCAGAATTTAAACCGCAATTTCGGTATTTATGAGTTTTTATTTAGCAAAATTGATTACGTTCTAGTGTGCTTGACATTGATTATTCCAATTGTACATGCATATATAGCTATAAAATTAGTTAGGTTTAGCTATAAAAGTAGTTAGGTTAATAGTAAATTATATACAGTGTGCCCAAGAGTCGTTGGAGCTTCTCAAGCAGCATGATAGAATGACTCCAAGTGAACAAATAATATTTTCACTCGAAATTTAAAAAAAAAAATTTCCAATAAATTTTCCTTTTGATTGTATAATAGGCTTTTTCTGTCATAATTCTCAAGTTATAAATAAAAATGTAAAAATTAGACGGTTTTCAGAAACTTCAACTTCCTGGCCTTAAACCTCTTTAAGAAGGCTTAAAAAAACGAATTTTAGTGTCATTTAGTTTAGGCATTTCTTATTCTTCTCTTGTGTATATAGAATACTTTTCTTCGAGAGTTCCATTGAGTCTCGCACACCCTATAATATAATAAAGAAAATCGAAATAATTTAATTTAATTGTAAATTGAAATCGTAAACCGAAACAAGACGGAAAACCGCAAAATTTGCAATATATGAAATATTAAAGTCTCGCTTTGTAAACTTATTATTAAAATTTGTAGTTTAAATAGCTTATACCGAAAAGTAACACAGTTACTATACAAATTATATGACACATATTTAATTCTAATATCATACTTGCTATACATACATGCATATGCGAAGTTTGAAAAATCTAATTAATGTGGGCTTTTAACGATTATAACGATGGTAAAATCAAGCGTTTTGTTTTTTAAATTAACTTTAATATAACATTTATGGTACAATGATATGAAATAGATACCATGAAGGGAAGGTGTTCGATAGCGCTTGTATCCATAAGAGCAACGCTGTAAAAGTGAGCTATATAAAGAAGGTGTCAATGAATTATGCAACTTCAGCTCAGGAAAATTCTTAAAAATTAATTTTGTCAGACCAAAGATTCTCTGCAAATCAATGAAAATTTTTTGATTCAATTTCAAAATGGTTGATTTTTATTAAGAAATTAAATGTAATTTTATACACTTAATTACATTTTATAATTATTCTTCCAGATGTCTCCCTTGTATATTATATGAAATTCAAAATCTTTATTTATTACTCCCAATGCAAAAAACATTTGTCAAAAACTGAAAATTTTAACTTTGGGATTAATTGAAATAAGAGCCCAACACTTTTACCATTGAAATTTCTAATTTTTGAGTTTTGCATTTAAATTTACCAATGTTTTTAATGTTATACGGCTTCATAATACAGTAATATTTTCGATTTTATTTAATCCATTCACAATAGTAAATTTTTATCCTTTTTTTAGCATTTCTTGAAAATTTCTTTTTTTCTTTTTAGATATGAAAATTTTTAAAAAGCTATCAAGAACTTGGGAAAATAATAAAAGTAGTTCAATTTCTACTATTTATATAAGTAAACTAATTAACCTTCGAGCTTCACTTATTGTGACATAAAACAAATATTGTATGAAGAGAGTCAATAAAAATTATTATTAATAATAATAAATTAAAGAAAAAACTTAAATAGACTTGACTTGATGCATCAATGATTTTGATATCATATTGACTTTGAATTAATATTATTTGCGCGTTTCTTCTTTGTTACTACATTATTATAATATATAGTGTATATAAGAGTGTGTGTATAGTAAGTAGGTAAATATTGCAATAATTTAATATATATATATTGAAATGTGCAACAAAATTATGCGCATTAGTAACAAGCCCAAAAAAAAAAATATGATTGATTTTTTTTTTGTTGAAATGAGTAACAATGCAAAACAAAAAAAAAACATTACGTTGGCAACTGTTGAAATTTTTATATGTATAATAAAGAGCTGGTACGAGTAGAATATTGTTACACTTTAATAAACATTTTTAATGTAAGTGATGGACGGAACGTAGTTCTAATAAATATTGTAAAAATATTTAATTTCTGTGCAGAAATTGTTTACTAATCTTCCATGGTCCTGCTTCGTTCATTTTCTACAAGCCACTAGTAAAATTTTATTAAGCGCCGCATCATGTAAAACTTTTCGACAATGCAAATAAATGTGACATTTTTATTTTCTAAAACTAGTTTAAATAAGTATGTATGTAGCTCAATGTGGAATTTTGTTTAAACCGAAAAAAAAATATAATTTTTACTCAAAATTATTTGTGGTTATCACCATTTCATAAATTAACCTTATATTTCGCAATGTTTTCGTGAATTGTACGTTAGTTACATGCGGCATATTTCTTGAATTATAAATGAAAACGTAAAGTCACATTTAGGTCTTAAAACAATTCGACAAGTAGGGCCAAAAAAAAATACTTTTTTTCTTTGCGTCTGGGTTAATTTTGTCACTCTTTTTCAGGAATACCATATAATTTTAGAATTTTATCCATGTACATTTTATGATTAAATTATTTGAATAGTACTTTTTTATTATACCAGAATAACATTTTAATTCTTCTAATAAATAAAATAAAACTCATTATAAAATACATTTTCCAAATAAATCACGTTTTTCTCCAATTTTTTATAATTTTAGAAGGACTTCCATTTGTTCCACACAGCTGTTATGTGGGAGAAGATAATCAAGCTGGAACAAAGCCATCAATAGGATCATGTTTTAGATTTGCTGAAATTAAAGAATGTTGTTGTTTACGACCACTAGCCCAAAGATGTAAGTTCCATTATAATTGAAATGTTTCTGTTTTTATTTCTACAAATCAAAAGGTTACTTAATAAGCAAAATAATATGAAGAAAATTTCAGAAAATATTTAAAATTTAAAAAGAATCTCACTGAAAATAATTATAATTCTTCAAAAATTGTCTTCTAATTCAAAAATTGTTAAATCGCCCTCAAAGTAAATTTAAAATTTCATTAAAATTTTGTCAATACATTTGAATTTTGAGCACAGATCTTAACATACATGATAAAAACTATATACAATGACGTCAAATAATGCAACTTAAGGAGAAACTTGAATTTTTATTTTAAATTAATTTTTATTTCTTTATGATTTGTAGAGACTTTTTCATTGAATTTACTTTATTAAAATTATGAACTACATTTCTAGATCCACACTATTTCATTTAAATATTAATTTACTGTTGATAACCTTTTTTTAAACTTTCATGTTGTAATCAAAATATTTTTTAAAAGAAAAAAAAGAGAAGTCAAGATTTTATTTTTCTTAAATGATTATTTTAAATGCATTTTACAATAATTACAAAAACTGAAACAAGGCTTAGAATGTAAAGATAATTTTTGACTGATGAAATATGTAAACAAATTTTATATTTTTATGATTCGAACGCACTTAAATTATATTTACTAATTAAAATTAAAAACCATTGTGAATAATTGTTAGGAATAATTTTTCTAATTACTTATTTCTAATTTTTTCTATCCTATTAATAATGTGGTGCATGCAACAAGAACACGTACAAGTATTAAGTTTATACAGCCAAAGTTATTCTTCTATCGTTGGATTGGAAGAACTTACGCCATCCAAATAACTAATATTGTATTGATGAAATATTGGAATACATTTTACTGAATTTCATTATTGTCATTCTAACAAAATTTATTTTCAAGAATATTGCGAAAGTATTTAGACATTTTATCAAAATGCATTTCTAATATCACTAACTGGATTTTTTTTTGAAGTGTTGTAATTGTTATTAGATTTGCATTCTGTTGGACGCCCATTTAAAATTCTCTACAAACATTAATTGCAATAATACAGTATGTATACAATTTGGCAATTAATACACATAACATACTTTCAAGTTGAAATTTGTAGGAATCCATGACTTCAAAATTACAGTAATACAATGTTAATACGAGTACACAATTCAATTGCAAACTTGTGTTAAAACAGAAATTTTTTAATTATGTAGCAATTCATGCTGTACTACAATTTTGAAACCATATGGCTAGTATTGCTGCTATTAAATATCGTCGTAAATAATTTCATAAAATCTTGTAAAAAATGTGAAAAATGTGACTAATAAAAAAATTCTCGACTTCAAATAAATTGGAAAATAACTAGAATTGATTTCAAATATTAAATTTTGTTTAGTACAAGTACAATAGGGAAATTATACATATGTATATACAATTTTATATATGTGTGTATATACATATGCATTTGAATAGCGTGAAGGAATTATTGTCTATTTAAATAATATCAAATTATATTATTAAATCTGATCTTGTAACAAATCTTAATAAAATTGTACCTTATTCATTAAAGCTTTGTAAATTAGTGTTTTCTATATTTATTTTGTAACTGTGCAAGTGCACATAATAAGTGCCTATAGATTTAATTTAAAAATCTTCTTACATTATGCAAAAAACCTCAATTTTTTTAAATATTTTCAATTATATTAATATAATTTTCATAAAAATGGAGCAAAATAATATTATAAATTAATTGCATAAGAAACTGAATATGATTCAAGTTCAAGTGCTTATTGCGTTTTTGAGATGAAAATGTTGATGCATTTCAGAGAAGGAGATGAAAAAAAAAATTCATGACGTCAAATAAATTGTGTGGTTTTTTTTATGTATGTGCATTGTACACTTATTGTAATTTAAATATAAAATTAACATTGTGCAGCAATTTTAGCATATAATTTATCAAATATTTTTCAAACTCAAATATCTACAGAAATGTGGAGGCTCCTTAAATCATTTACAAGAAATTTAAAATTTAACCTAAAGTTTTACATATTCCGCTTGAACAAACATTTTTTTACTTAGTACATGCAAACCGTACGCAACTATAATATTCCATGATTTCAAAATCGCAGTAACAAGGTATTGATATATAATTTAGATCGTGAATTGGGTATCTGAACTGTGTAGCAAAGTATGTTGCATTGAAATTTTGAACACTGGATTTTGTAATTTTGAAATCAAAAATTTCAAAATCAGCAATTTTAATTAAAATTCTGAGAGAATAAAATATTGATAAGAATATTTTCTGGATTTTCATTATGCAATATTGTAATTAATTTTAATTTTAAATAATTATTTTGAATTATAATAATATATATTATTAATTAAATATTTATTTTTATTTACAGGGAAATACTTGTCAACAGCAAGAATCATTTCCAACAATTTATTTTTAATAATAGTTTTACCAATATTTTTACTTTTGTTAAATTAAATATTATGATTTTTCAATTTAAGCATTAACGAATACAAAAAAAATTCATGTTATTTAATTGGCCATACCCGATAGGCGCTACTTATTACTTATGACATATAATTTTCAGTTATCAATTTTGATTATAAAACTTTATCATGTAATATGTAGGTAAACAAAATATTGTTGAAATACCATCATTTTAGTAATTGAAGCGCCATAACGACATAATGTAATAACTTCATTACGTTTCCTGACTTCAAAATTGCAGTAGTACACTCAATAATTTATTAAGCTTAATACTTTTTATAGTTGACAACAATTTGATGCTCGTTAAATATAACATTGCATAATATAATCATTTTGACGAGTCAATCATGATTCCATACCCTGTTACAAAAGAAAAATTTACGGAAATTAATGTAACAACGCAATTATTTTTATTCCACTGCAAAGAAAATCAATAATAAAAATCATCAACACATGTACGTCAAATTATATGAGGAGTAGGAAAAGTACTTTTATAAACTTTAATTAGTGAATTGTGTAGCACTAAAAGTATTAGGACAATTTTGAAGTTAGGGATTACATTTACGTTATGTCACACATATAACGGTTACAACATCTGTACATGTTTATTTGTATGTAATCAATAGTATTTTTTATCTGGAAATTATTGAAATATTGATAAAATTTTTTAAAATAGAAAAATAAGAATTTAGATTAAGAATAAATATTAAAAGATAAAATAATTATCACAAATTATCTTGGTATTATGGCACTTAATGAAACATAAATCACATGGAATAATTTATTTGTATACTGTAAAAAGCATTTTCATATTTGTGAAGTCAGAAATTTAGAACTTATTTTATTCAGGTAGATAAATTTAATTGCTGATTAAAGTAAATTAAAAATTTTTACATTTCTCTTGATTCTTGATCAAATCAAGGAATATTATGAATAGCTTTCTGTTCGATATTTTAAAATTAATTTAATATTTTCACAAATTTTTAATGCTTCCACAAAATTTTAACTTTTATAAAAATTTTTGTATCCAAAATACAAAATTAATTATAATTACAGTCATTAGAAATAATTTAATTTAATTTTGAAATGTAAAAAGTCGAAAACAAACATACTTGACGTATGTATGTTCCAAAATATTTTTAAATTTATAAATTGTATTTTTAATAATTTAATAATGAAATAATTATGACCCATGTATTTTAATAATAAAATTTAAAATTTTATAATTTATTTAAGATTTCAATATAAATAATAAATAGATATTACACTAATGTAACTTATATGTACGTATATGTTATGCATGTACAATAGAAATTTAGAAACCGATTTAAATAATTAGAGATAAGCTATCTATTTTAATATAGATTTATTAAAATTGTCATAATTATTATAATGTATGTAATTAATTACATGTATTAAAGCTCCCTTTATTTTTTGGACATTGGCTGTGGATGAAAAAAAAAAAATAAAACCTTGAAATAATAAATAATTTAATGTATAAACCTAGTATATGAATGAATCTACCATACCAAATACATAAATTGTTTAAATGTTTTTATGAATTTACCTTTAATAATATTATTTTATTTAATTATTTGACTAAAAAGTAAAATAAGCTGACATATTGATTTGTTTGTAGGAACCAATTATATCACGAAAATTGGATATTGTATAGTTCAAGCATGTAGTATCTTTTTTAATTGTATAAACGAATAAAATACGTACGTATATGGAATTTAAGATTTTATCTTTATTCTTTTTTGGAAAAATTTTTGGGCCAAATATAAGATGCAATATATACTATTTCTCCACGAACACTAAAACCAATTGGAACTGAATTTTAAAGAAATATTAAAGAAAAAAACTCATTTTTATTTAGGCTATAGCTATGATTTATAAAGTTGCTTTAAAATGGTAAAATATTTATTTATTCAGAATTCTGTAATTAGGGGAAAATTTCTAAATTGTTTTATAAAACTCGCTGCAAAAGATTTGCATGTGTAGTTGCTGTTGCAAACAATTTAATAAAATGAGCGGCTCTAAAAATTCCAAATTATTAAAAAATCCATTAGCTTATATTTTATTAAAATTTTTAACAAAAATTTTCCACAATTTCTGAATTTTCAAGCTGAAACTATCCACTGAAGGGAAAATGAAATTTTCGATTATTTAAAATTTAACCTTCTATTAAAAAATAAATAATTCGTTACATAGTTTTTGGACATTGGTCATATTCATAAATCTACTAAAATAAATTATGAATGTTTAAATAAAATAAATATTTGAGGTTTTATATCATTTATTTTTTTTTTTTTTGGTAAGAAAAAGAAAAATATTAAATATTTTACTAGCTTATAATAGGATGCCTCTTCATATGACCCCAATATCCCGCAGTCTGTTTAAAACCTTTTCCACATATATTACAAACGTGCTTCCTTTCTTCGCTATGCAGTTTTTTATGTTCTCTTAAACTTGTTCTTTTCCTAAAGAATTTTGGACACATATTGCACCCAAACGGTTTTTCACCTGTATGAATACGAATATGTTCCACTAAGTACTCTGATTGTGCGAACCGCTTATTACATAATTCACATTGATGCGGCCAAAATTCCGGATCAACATGTGCACTTCGTTGATGCCTCTTTAAATAAAACTGAAATATATTTTATTATAAAATTGATTGTTTTTTAATAAATAATTGCTTTATCTTTACTTTGGTCTTGTAATAATTACCGCACATTTCACATTGAAAGCTTCCTACAAAAAAAAATGTTTTTAGTATACAAATATAATTTATGTATGTACATATGTATAAATCTAAAGCTAATTTTCTAAATAAAAAACAACCTTTTCCGTGTGTTTTTTCATGTTGCTTCATAAAATGAAAAGTTTTGAATTTTGCGTCACAATTTTCGAATTCACAAGAAAACGGTCTATCTTCAGTGTGTTTATTTATATTATGGGCTTTTAAATAAGACGCCATTGTAAAAGCAGCAGGACAATTTTCACATTTATATGGCCTATCATTCGTATGAATTTTTATATGGTACTGCAGTTGGCAATTGGTCCTGAAAATTCTTTCGCAATATGAGCATTTAAATCGAAAATCCCTTTTTGTAGTTGGTTCGTTATTATAATTCTGTGAATTTATTTCAGTTCCCATTTTTTGTTTGATTTTTTTACGGTTTTCTTTACATATTTTCATTTTTGAATCCATAAAAGCGTGAAATTTGCAAATTTTACATAAATTGTTTTCACTACAATGTTTTTCATCTTTGTGATGTTCGTATAATTTTTTATAGGTATCAAAACATAGATGACATTCGCAGCAGCAAAGTATTCCTAGTCGTAATAAACTTATGAAATCTCCTTTATTTTTCTCTATAATTTCTTTTACTACTGAACATTCTTCTAAAGTATGTAAATCTTTTACAGGTGCTGTACAATATGAACAAGAAGCTACAATATTTGATTTATCAAAAATATTTTCATCTTCATCTATTTGTATAGTTTTATTTTCTTGCGTTTCTCCATTCAAAATATTCGCTTCCAGAATTTTTTTTTCATTATCTACACTTTCCCCTATCACGCCTTCATCATTTTCTGCTTCAGAGTTTAAAAAATCATTCTCCATTTCATTGTAATCTTCGGCATCAATCGAAACTTCCTGTTTTAATTTAGGATTATTTGGGGATAATTCTAACTCGACTGAATTTGATTCAACTTCATCCGAATGTAACAAGCTATGAGTTTTGAATTCATTGAATTCATACAATAATTCATTGCAAAAGAAGCATAGAAATGTGTAATTTGTTTTATCCGACAAAAATATTTCACCACATTTTTGATAAATATTTTCTTCAATTTTCATTAATTCCATGGTAAAATTTATTTTTTTTTTTGATGTGAAGATTTAAGTTATTTCTAGTGCAAAATAATCGAATTTATATTTATATACTTTTATTTAGATCTTGCTGTTATCGCTGTGTTATGCCGAAAACAAAGTGAACGTCAACCGAAACAAATTGTCATTTGTCATCGTAGCTTTTCATGTCATTTGTCACATGATATTAAGAGCAGGGGTGTGCTTAATAACTCAATTGTAATAATAGGTCTACAAGTCAAATAGACTGGCAGTATAAAAAATTTTTCCAAAAAAATTGAAAAAGCTGAGTTCCAATTCTTAGACTCTCTAGAGCACTTTTAATGACTGAATCTTGTTAGTAGTGTAATATTAATAGTTGCAATAGTGATAATAGTTGTATTAGCGATAAATATTGTTTAGTCACCACAAATTAATTTCACGTAAAATAGAGTAAAACGATAATATTACGCTGCGTATTGCGAAATTAACAACGTTCAACACAAAATACAATTAAATTCAATACAAATTCAATACAAATTTTATTACAAAATGTTTGTTTTTATTTCAACATTCCTTACACAACAGTAGCTATATATAATAGTCTCAAATTTCGTCCCTATATTCTTTTCTAAGGAATCTATGCTAGTGCATAGCCTCATTCTAAATTTTGACTTATTGTTAAAAACATCCGAGTTCCAAAATTATAAAAATTTTTTAGGGAAAACGGTAGATAAAATATCCTCTACTGTTCATTTTAACAAACTATGGAACTATGTTCATTTAACATGGAATTGATCAGTAAATCTTTTACATTCTGCACCATTTGTCCATTGATATATTTTGTCTCTTATTGTTTCTTTAATTTCATATGGATATTTGGTGGCAGCAATTTTCATTAATAGATTATGAAAACACGTACAAATTTGTCTAGCATGCAATAGTTTCTGCATTGTATTAAGTTATTTTATACTATAATTTATAATTTTCAATTTTTACATGATAATTATGTAAAAAAGCAAATCTCTCATATTTTAACTAGTCCTTAGTATATAAATACATATTAAATTCTTAGCTCATATAAACGTCAAGTTAAATTGTTAAAATTGTTCCTTTAAAGAAAAGGTCATGCAACTAAAAATAATTACTAAAAAATTACTTTAACTAGAGATAATTTGTATGAATTAAATAAAAGTCATCAAGTACTGCGAAGTTTTAACAAGATTTGACTTAATTGGCCAACACAAGACAAAATATCTTCATAGTCCTTGGACCATTCTTTAATATCTCGTTCTAAGTCGACAAGTCGTTGCTCACCAAGACGAGTACCCCCATTTTTCAGAGCAGCGGCACACTGTGAAGTCAAAATTTTGAAACATTGTCGCCTTATTATGTTATGTGAATTGTTATCCCATATTGGTGTAGCTCTAACATAATTCCAAGCCATTGATACGTAATTGAGTAAAGCATCCCAATGCCCTGAATCATTTAAACACCGGCTTTGCGATACCAGGGCTTTCTTGAAAGCTGTTAAATGGATCACAGCCCGAGAATACGCTGTACCGTCGGTTTTCTTACATAATCGTGAAGTTGGCAAGCTTTTAAATATATTACGTTTAATATTTAATAATTCATCCTCAACTGAACTAAAAAATACATTGTGCAATTAGTCTTTATTTTTTTAAGGTAACTATTATTCTACTTACGAGAGATCGGGCATTGGAAAATTATCCCTGATTTTCGTCCCAATATTTGGATCATCTTTGACTAGCCCTTTAATAATTTCTATTAATTGGTCTTGAGTTAGTCCTTTTAACTGTAAGTGTAAGGGAATTTCAAAGTTTGCTTGTGCTAACGGTCTCTCATCCAATTTTTGTCTTTTAACCACTGGTGTGCCGCACCACATGATACGATTTGAACTCTCTTCATTTATATTCTTCTTTGGAGAAAAATTTTTGCGTTCACAGCTTTCATTTGCTATAAAATCATTCATTAATCTTTTACGTGGTGAGCTTCTTAATGTCATAGATGAACATCCTATTTTCGTTGGTGTTTTTGGGAATGGACTTCGACTCGACACAACCCCTGTAGGCAAAACATTCTTTTCTGGTGACCATACTAAAGAAATTCTACGCCTTCCTCGTTGTCGTATAACAAGTTCATCAGGTGATGGAATTGGTGAAATATAGTAGCCCCTTGATATATTTGTTAAAGTATTATCAAATATTGTTGTATTTAGAACATTTGCCGGTGTTGGTTCGTCCGGTATCCTAGTTGTAGGTGTTGTAGCTACACGTATTCTTCCTAAGCGTTCAGGGATTTCACTCAAAGCTTGTCGTGTCAAATGATGGGTTGGTGTAGTCATAATTTTTCCAATAAAAATTCACGGCCGCATTGAATTTTTTTTAGATCTTTTCTTTTGTATTATATGTACGTGTGTATATCCAAATTTAAAAATTTTGACTAAGTATATATTGAATGCTCAAAATTAGTTATAATTAGTGCACAATTTAAAACGATTTATTTATAATAATCTTTTTTTTATCATTATTTTCCTTGTTTAATTCAATTTGGCGCGATCATTTACAATATTTTGTTTACAAGAAATGATCATTGACCGTTCAATACAGAAAACCAGTGCTGCCACATGTCTAATTTTGAAAGAATTCAAAAAGTGTACAACATTCACAATTTTAAGCATATTGTTAAAAGTACATAATTGAAAAGAGAACATTTTTTTTTGATAATTATTTAGTTTGTAGGTGGCGGAGTTTTTTCTTTTAACCATATATATTGTTCATAAATTTTGAACTTTTCATTGGTTCCATGCAAAATTTTTAGATTTTAGAATTAGTTTTGCAATTATTGAACCTTTTTATTAAAATGTATCACATCAAAATTTTGAATTGAAGTTTATTTCGCATTCCAGTCAAAAAGTCAGTTTAGATCTGTATCTTAATTTTCTGTCATAAATTAATCTAAATTAAAAAATTAATAGTTATAAATCTATTTAAGATTTAAGCTTGAAAACAAAATTTGTTTCACCAGTAGATTTTCGCGTTAATTAAAACCAAAAATTTTTGTTAGATGTCGCGCACATCGATTAAAAGTAAATAATGGTAGTCATTTTGATAAGTTATTCATTTTAAAATTCTAAGGTTGGCATTATTGGGAATGTATCGAAAACTTCATAACTCTTATATGCCAATGTCAGACAGATTTAATATTTTTGTTTGAAACTAGATAAGTTATTTTGGCGGTAATATTGGAAAAATTATCTTTTAATTGTTAAGAAAAATGGGCGAATCTGGTATTAATATTCCAATAAAATTTATCGACAAAGAAGGCAATGCAGATGTCGATATAAAATTTACATCACGTCGAGTTACTCGCAGCAACTCTAATTTAGAAAAACCAGAAGTGAAACCAAAATTACATGAGTGTCCATATATAAGTTACACAGGAGAAATTAAATGTAAGAGAATGTACATATATGATAATAAATGCACTTAATATTTAGTGTAATATAGTGTAAATTTATTACAATATTCCAAATTTTAGACTTTACCACAACAATTGATATAGCGTGTGCATGTGACGAGCTCCTGTCGTATGTTGAAACTGTTCATAAAGAAACAACCGAGATTCCCATTGCTTTTGATATGGAATGGCCTTTTAGGTAAAAAAAAAACAAAACGTGATCTATATAGTGTAACTTATTTATATATTCATTAAGTTTTAAAACTGGTCCTGGTAAGTCTTCCGTTCTACAACTTTGCATCTTAGAGCATGAAACTTACGTTTTTTCAATTGGGCACTTGAAAAAATTACCTTCGGCTCTGATAGCTTTGCTCACACATCCGAAAGTAAAATTGCATGGTGTTAATATTAAAAATGACTTTAGAAAACTACAAAGAGATTTCCCTGATACAAATGCTGATAAATTAATTGAAAATTGTATTGACTTGGCTGCTATGTGTAACGAAATTAAAAACACTTCAGGAAGATGGAGCTTAGAACGTTTAGTTAATTATATTTGTCGTTTACAAATGGATAAAAGTAAAAAAATTCGCATGAGTAAATGGGATGTAGTGCCCTTAAATAACGACCAACTTCGATATGGTATGTTTTTTTATAATATTTTGATAAAAATAAATAAGTTCCAAATTTTAGCGGCTATCGATGTTTATATAGGGCAAGTCATATATCGAAAATTGGAAGAAGAAAAATTGAAGAAAACTGAGTTTGACTATGAAAATGAAATAATTTTAAGAAAATTAGGCTTAGATTTTTAAAATTGTACAAGTTTTATTGAATATATTATGTAAGTCTTTTGTTTTAAAATTTGTAAAAGAAAAAAAACGTTTGTAAAGCAATTTCTTGATTTTGTATGTTGTTAATCTAAATTAAAATTTTTACTTTATAAAATATTTTGTTGATTTTTAACTATAAATTTAAGTACAGAACAACCACCTTTAAAGTTAAGCGGCTGTAACGTTGCAGTTCGAGTCTTAGGATAGCTCGAGTAAAAATAAATTGTGTAGGTTGTAAAGCAACTTAATGGTAATTAATCAGGCAATGTAGTGTGGCATACAATAGGAATTAAAAAAATTGTAAGTTATTGGTAGCATTTAATTTTCACATTTATAATAGATAATTCAATTTAATTTTCTTTCACTGCGTTTTAATAATTACCCTTAACTTAAAGACATCATTACGGATCTTAATTTATATAAGTAATTTAAATAGTTTTTAAAAAATTTTTTCAGTTGAAAACCGTAATTATCAATCATTTTCATTGGAGGAATGTAATTGAAAAGTAAATATTCCTCTTCCTTCAATTTCAAAAGTTTCGCTTAATAATCCTTCGTTCCAATTCAATTTTGTTCCAATATTTAGTATTGCCAACTGCTATTCCGACAAATTTTCAGCTAATAGATTAATGTATTTATGCGTTGTCAAAATCAAAAATTACAATACGTTGCGTAGTTAGTGGGCTAAATGTAGAACAGGTATGAGACACATGCATTATACAGGTGCTTTATAATAACAATTATATCGATCCCTAACTAATGCATAAATCATAATTATTAAATCTAATTTTCGTTTTAAAATTTTTTTTGGGATTTAAGATGTTAAAAAATACGTTCAAATAATAAAAAACAAATATTGTGTCGATATTACTTTTATTCACAAAAATGCTAAAAATGTTGATTTTCATTTAGTTTTCCTGTTCTTTCAAATTTTTATACAATAATAATAACTTTTTCAAAATAACTGAATTATTTTTTTACATTATTTTCATAGATGTTGGCAACACTAAAAAATGTCATTATTTAATTTATTTTTTACTCATTTTCGCAGAAATTCATATTCTGTTAATTTTAGTCCAGTTTAGTTTACGATTTGAGCGTGTAGCAGAATGTTATTAAAATAATATACGCGGACGGTGAAGAAGAATTTCTAACAAAAAAAAAAAAAAAACATTTTTATACCAAAAATTAAATTCGAATTGGAAAATAAGAAAAAAAATTGCTTTAAACTTTAGTGCGCCTTATATTTTGAAGAAAAGAAAAAAAAATTAATTTTGTTTTTAAAATTTAATTATAAAATACAAAAAAAGAATTTTTGTTTAATAAAAAGTAAATAAATTACATTCAAATAAAAATGAAATAAAAAAACCTGTTGCCTGTGCAGTTCAACACAAATACACAAACGAATATAAATTCGACATATGCATGAAAATACATATAGCTACATACATATATTGGAGTTAAAAAAATTCCAAAAATTTTTATTTTGGTGGAGAACCATGCAACTTCAATTTTATTAAGAAACATAATTGAGAACGTTTTAAATTTAAATTTTATAAGTAATAAACGCTAATAAAAATTGAGCTAAAAAAAAGAATAAAATAAATTAATTTTTATATAAAATTAAGCGGGTTTTTATGCATGATAATGAGCTATTTCCTTGGACCCAAATATAAAGGATATAAAATACTACTACTTCAGAAGAATTTTAGAAAGAATGTAATAAGTATTTTACAAAATATATGGGATTAATATAACTTTTCTTAAATATATACAAATATATATTTTAAATTTAGAATATTAATAATACATACTTATTGTTGTATCCTATTTAATTTTCTGTTTAATGTGCAATCAGTGTATTTTAAAGCTAGCCAAGAATTTTCTTAATAAAATTCCTAGTAATTGTAAATTTATAATGTAGATAGATGCATAGTTAATTATTTTGTTTCTTTGAATATTTTTGAATAAAACTTACATAATTAATATAAATATAAAAGTGCTTATAAATGTGCCTGTTTAATTGTGTGCTTTTTTAAAAGAAAAGTAATTGTGTTTTGTCCTAATAAATTAAAAAGTAAAAAATTTTTTGTATTAAAATTCGTTGTGATTTTTTTAATATTTTTCAAACTAGAAAAAGGACTATTTTTTTACCAATAAACAAAAATATCCAAGGAATCTGTCAAATCTGACGTTTTAAAAATTTATTTTTATTTTTGTTATATTTCGTTCAGCATATTTCTGTATAGGTAGTATATCCTTTTTTTATGCAAGTATTTGTGATCCTTTTATATGAATAAAAGAAAAAAATAAAAAAAAAAAGAAAAACGCCTTTGTCTCAAAACTTTTTTTTTTAGTTGCATTCTTGTATTCGGTCTGTCAAAATTTCAATAAGTTCAATTCCAATAATTAAATATTGTGTGTTAGAAAAAAAAAATAAAAATTTTTTGTCAAATAAAAAAAGTAAAATTTTTTGTATAAAAATCTATAAAATATAATTGTGATTAATTTATTTAAAAATTTTCTACTGTGGATCTCATAGAAGCATTACAAAAGCAACTTTCTAGTTGCAATGCACTTTGTAGTAGTCGGTCTACAAAATCACGTCTACATCAAATTGAAGATGATACTAATACCAATAGCACATCATCATCTGTTATTTGTGTTGTAGATGCAAATTTACCAAATAATATAACCTGTGCTCCTTCTGCTACTGCAAAAAAATCAACAATCGATGGTATTATTTTAAAAAAAGATGCCATCATAATATCAAATGATGATAATAATATAAATGTTTGTACATCAAATAAAACCTCAACAACACCTGGTAATAGCAACAGCAGTAGTAGTTGTAGTAATAATTGTAGTAGTAGTAATACTAATAACAATTCATCATCATTATTTAGTATTCAATCAACTACTAATTATTTAAAAAATTTATCAATAATGGGTGCTGTTAGATCTAGATCTATTATTCAAACAACGGATAATGGATCCGATTGTAATAGTGGTAATAATGGTACCAGTAGTAGTGGAATTAATGGAAATTATAATAAAAATAATATTGGTTCAACTATTATTATAACACAGGCATCATTAAATAATAAGGATATGAATTTATTAAATAATGGTGGAAATAAATTTGGTAATAATGGAAAACAGACAACATCATCAAATAATCGTCATGAAATATCACCTGCATCACCAACATCTGGTTATTCATTTAGTACTAGTAGTAGTAATAATAGTGGAAGTAATCATATTAGGCAACCAAGTGTTAGAAATCGTCCAACACAACCGATGCCAACACATGAAGAATTGGATAAAAGATTTGCAAAAATTTTGGTAAGTAAATTTTTTTAAATTGATTCATAAATCAGACTAAAAAGTACTATTTATATTAAAAAGTGTAATCAGATTTAACGTTTTACTTGTCTTTAAATTAAAAAAGTCACTTTAGAATTCTTGGAATTGCCTTTGCATTCCAAATTTTTTGTTAATTTTAAGGGTTAAATATCTTGTGAGCAGAATTTTTTCAAGTAAAACTTAATATTTTTTTCTTGTTTCTGAAATTAAAATTCTTTTGAATAAATAATAAATTCATAGAGTATGGAATGAAAGTACTTTTGCTAAAAATTTTTAAAAGATGCACAGAAGTTTGTGCTTACCGATTTACTTTCTGATTGTTATTTACGTATATAAAAAAAACTTTAAATATTTTCTAAAAAATTGTTTTGATTTTTAATTTTTTAAAAATTCCGCAGAGTTTGAACACTTGTTTTCTCTGAAAATATGGGCTGAATTTACAAATAACTGCAATTTTATGTGGGTACTTTTAACAAATTATTCTCTCATAGTATCACTTTTTTAAAATCTACCGATCATATTGTAAAATTTCTTAAATATTTATATTCTGAAACAAATAAAGAAGTTTATTGGAGGGCCATAGGAGAGACGCAAAAAAAGAACGCACAAATTTTTCTACTATTCAAAAGAAAACCTTCAATTTAATTTACTTTTACTTGTACATATACACAAGTATTTGTGATCATTTTATCGATTTCCCTATATTAGAATCTCATATGTAGTAACTAACTTATATAATTCAAGCCATGACTATAACTAAGTATATATGTATGTATATTGTTATCTTCCTATACAATTGATATACTTCAAGTATCCATAATTTTTAATGTGTCTATTCTTGTATTGCATTGCAATTTCATTTTCATAAATTTTTCAATTATGGTTTAAAACAAATTTTTAAAAATTGAGTTAAGCGAATATAAGCGCATCTCTTATGGGGAAACTAATTTTATTTTCTTTTATTTTTCTACTTACTATAATTTATCAATTTTTATATAAGAGTAAATTTATAACATAAGATTATATAATCTCATTTATACTTATATGTACATACATATACATATATTGGTTATTTACAATTTACAAACTGGATTAGAGTAGAAAATATTTGACCTGGAATAAGTAAATATTATTTGTTTATTATTTATATGTAAAATTTAAGTAAAATTCGAATTCTGTGCTGAATTTTGTTATTAAATCATTATGATCGTATCTCCAATATAAATTTTATTAAAGCATCCTGCCGTTGAACCACTTAAAATTTAAAACTTCAAATTTGTATCAACTTTTTTATTTTCAACTCACATTTTTATTATTAAGCACTCTGTATACTATTATATTATCAGAGTGGAGTAATTGTATATCTATATAATTATGTATGTACGTCTTCCAGTGTACATAATTACCTATATTTTTCTCTTTTCACATAAATCATAACTATTCAATTCAATAAATTATTGTGTAACAGCGTTTAATATATTCGATTAAGTTATAAGTAAGAAGAGAGCAAAAAAAAAAAATATCAATAAGGAAATCAATGAAAATTAATTTTAATTTTTTTCCTTTTCTACTTATATTACGAGTTTTTTTTTTTTGTTTTTAATTTTGTAATAAATAATTTTACTATGTAATCATAAAGTGGAAATAGAAATTTTTCAATTATTGAGTAATACAAAGAAAGAAGAAAATAGAATGCGTTTGATGGCTCACAGACAGCGATATACACACATTCATAAGAAGATTGAAATTTTTTTTTTTTAGAACTTTATGTGAAAATGAGTACAAAATATTAAAGAAATGCAAATGCACAATACATACATACATACATAAATTTTTCTGAATCATTTTTGTTTTATGCAGGAAATCGAGGAATTTTGAAATTAAAATAGGAAATTAACAAAGTTATGAATAAGTTGAGTAAAACTATGCTATGAGTTTTTCTTAAAATCATAAAAAACTTTGTTTTATTTGAATACTTAATAAAATAAGTAAGTAGTATAGTAATTAATTTTGTCCTAAAATTTTTAATTCTTAGTAATATAGTAGATTGTTTGTTTGATCTCATTCCATTTATGTTTTGGAAAGAATTAGGTAATTCATCTTATTTTGTACTTAAATGCGAAATATTTGAAAATTTCAAAGTTACTTTGGGGTATTGCTTAGAGAGAGTCATAGAAATTGTGGTAAATATCTTTGTAAGTAGAGCAATTGTGGTACTCAATTTTTAAATTCAATACGTTTATGTTGAATTAAATTTTGCAGCAAGTGTTGTGCAGCAACTTTAGCTTTATTTTACTGACAATTTAAAATACTGACCTTGTATCATAAAATAATACTTTTATTTATTATATAGAGTGGCTAATTTTACCCCGAAATTATTTCTGATACGTAAAATGTTACTCTTACTTTTTAAGAACAATAATGATACGCAAATGTAATAAAAAATAAGTTTATTGGCCGTATATAATACGAAAGTAGTTGGCTTTATTTCTATGATCATCACTGTATGCATATAATTAAGAGTATACCTTTTTAGTAGGAGTTTGGGTTACCAAATTTTAAGAATAAATTAATTTGTTTGAGTACACAATGATATTTCCGGAAATTTCAGGATTTTCTAATTCTAATACCAAATAAATAAATTAATTATTTTTTCATTAAAAATTTGGAAGTACTTATATTTAAGTACGTTACTGATACTTAATTAGTAATTGCTACATAATTATATTTATAAAATGGACTGCATACAACCAAGTTCCAACTTAATGTGTGTAAATTTAATTAGTACGAGCATTGAATCAACTTTTTTCAAAATCAGATAAGTAATTTAAAAAATTTTAGTTATAAAAAATTTTCTCAATGAAATTTATTGACCTCAAAATGAATATTGACTTCTCAAATGAATAAATTTTTTTATTACTTATTATTTATTTATTTATTGCTAGTAGATAATGTAAGGTAAATGTTAAATGAGTATATGAGTAAAACAATAAAATTAAAGTAAATAAGTTTACAAAAGGAATTTTTTAATTAAGTAGTTAAAGATTTAATCATTCAATTTCATTCATAATTAAAATTTATAATTATTTACTTAAATTATTTGTTTTCTTTTACAATTTTTTATATTTTTTATTTATTCTTATAATACTTATAATTTGTTGGAAATTTTCTCATAAAGAAAATGTGTACTTGACGCGTAGAAATACTTACAAAAAAAATATGTGTAAGTATTCCAGACAGCTTAATTTCTTTTGCACTAGATCTTGAAAGTTTTCTTGAACTTAATTAAGATATTTTTTACGATCTTTTTGATGTCGGGTATACAAAAGAAGCAAAAAAAAACACGAGATGAATTAATCATTTTTTTTCTCCAACAAATAAGTATGTGACTGCATTTATAAAACAAATATGTTAAATAGGAAGAATAGGAAAACAAGCCGTTTTATTAAAACCAATAAAACAAAGGTATTGAAATTGAAATTAGAGTTGAGAATGGTGCTTTTAGCTAGGTTAGATTAGGTTAGCTAGACGCAGTCCCTTGTAGGGCATCTAGGCCAGTTAAACCAGTTATGATATCACATTATCTCTCCTCTTGCGCCTCTTGTTATACCCATCGCGAATTTCAAAAAAATTGACTAAGATTCCCAAAATTTACATTCGCTATGTGGAGCTTGTCAGCCCCGAATATGAACATAAGAGGTGCTTCTATAGAGATCCATTTGCTTTTAGCTATAAATTATTTTTCTCAAATATTTTGTACAATAAATTTTATTTCTATTTGGTAATTGGGTCTTAGCATGTACTTAAAGAAATTACAAAATTAATTTTAATGATGGTATTTAAAAAATTTTTAAGTACTTTCAACTAGTTCATGTTTTCTCAATTACATAATTATAAGCAAATAGCTGACCAATTCGTTTCAGAATTACAATAATTTTTGTTCAACTTTTATTTTATAGTTTTGTAAGGAAATTGTAAATTTTTTTTACAATCGCCTAAAAATGAAAATTTCAATTTTTTTTTTTTTTAAATAAAAATAAAAGACAACCAAATTTTTGGTTTTAAAATAAAAAATCTCTTTGGAAATTGTCACGTTTCACAAACATTGAACTTTTTCTTTTAATAAAAAAATATTGTTGTTAGTTTTTATTTTCTTTTATTTTCTTTTTATTTTTAGTTATTAATTAAGTTGACATGATCAATTTATAAAACATGAAAATTTTTATTAGATTGTCATTATTTTCTTATCACAGAAAAAAAAAAGTATATGTACTATAATTATACACAATAAAGTTCCATGAGTACTTAAGTGAATATATAAAATAATTGGAAATAGTCTACCTTTACTATTTAATTACAATGATGAATAGTTACTGAAGTAGATACAATTAAATTTATAAGACGTACTTATTTAATTCGACTGAATTTCGCTTAGAAAAAGTTTAATTGGCAATGTACGGGCAATAGTCAAAGTTTTCTGCAGATCTGAAGAAGGTTTGTAGAAAAACAAACTTTAAAATAATATCAATTTTATCGATCATTAATTGTCATACGAAGCGAACATTTTACATGAAGCATATAGTTGACTATAATCTGCCTTTCTACTAAAACTTGTCTGTCAATTTAGTTTGATCTTCGATATTAAAAAATTACTGGCTCGATTCTGAATCACAATTTATTAAATGACAATTCGGAAGGAAGAATTTATCCCATATTTATGCGTATTTATTATGAAAGCTCTAGAGAGAGTCTATTTAACACTTAATTTTGAATTGTTTTCAAAATAATTCTTCATTAGTCTAATATTTTTGCACATAAGTAATGTGAATATTTTTTTTATAAATATTTCATAATAAGTATATGAAAAATATTAATCTTTTTTTGTGTTATTTAAATATAAGTAAATAAATTAAAAAAAAAATATTTTGATTAAATTCTCGCAATATTTTTCTCGATATTTGTTTTAATTGTTACGAGTA